GTCTAGCACTATTATCTGTTGAGATATATATATTATACTATGCGAGGATTACTTAGCTTAAGTATTCTCGTGCGTACCTTTTGGACCATGGCCAAATTGGTACAGACAGGGGAGATGACGTAGTATTTATTTTATAGGCAGGGCGCCTACCTTGTTACACTAGGTATAGTACCTATAAATGCAAAGTCCTACTATTTAGGCTATATAATAGACCTGTAATCTATTAGTGCTATATAAATAATATACTAATAGATTATTTAGATAACTTCTATATTACCTATCTAGATAATATCCTTATCTACTCTAAAGACCTTGCTACTTATAAGGACTATATTTAAAAAGTCCTTAAGCGTCTTTATTCTACTAGATTATAGGCTAATATTAAGAAAAGCAAATTCTATATAACCTGTACCTGTTACCTTAGATATATCCTAACTAATAAAGGCTTAGAGGTAGACCCTAACAAAGTTAAAGTACTCTAAAACTAGTCTGCTCCTAAGACAATAACTAGAGTAAAGTCCTTCCTAGGATTTACTAGATTCTACTAGCAATTTGTGGAAAACTTCTCTAAGATAGCTAAGCCCTTAACTACCCTCTAGAGTCCTGCTACCCTATTTATATAGACTTTAGAATACTAACAAGCCTTTAACTAGCTTAGGAATACCCTGCTAGCAATCCTAAGCTTAGCTTACTTCTATCCTAAGTACCCTCTAAAACTAGAGATAGACGCCTCTAATAGAGTTATTGTAGCTATCCTCTTATAGGAGCATCCTAATAGGAAATAGTACCCTATATCCTTCTTTAGTTAGACCCTTACTAGTTCTAAACTTAATTAGGAAATCTATAATAAAGAATTGTTTGTAATAATCTGCGCCTTTAAGAAATAGCGTGCTAACCTAATAAGTACTTAGCACCTTATTAGAGTATACATAGACTATAGAGCACTAGAGTACTTTATATCTACTAAAGTCCTTAGTGCTAGGTAAGCTAGATAGCTAGAGGTTATAAGTCCCTTTAACTTCTAAATTAAGTATACTCCTAGATCTTATAACGCCTAAGTAGATATCCTAAGTAAAAGGGAATAGGATATAGTTAACCTTAAGACTACGCAAAGGGATAATTGCTTATAAGTAATAATCTCCCTAGACAGGTTACACCCCTAAATTAACTCTGACTTAGCGCAAGACTACCTAGCCAAGCGTTCCTCACTAATCCTTGCTTTAATTATAGTAGTTTAGAACCCTATAACTCTTAGATCCCTAGAACTTATTAAAACTCTTCTCTAAGAAAATAGGTCCTTATTCCTAACAGAAAGATTAGAGTTGCCTAAGCACTATTAGATAGAAAACAGACTTCTTCTCTACTAGGATTAACTTTGCGTGCCTGCTAGATTAGTCCTATATACAAGACTAATTCGTAAGGCTTATAATTAAGTGTCTACTGCCTACCTATTAGCTACTAAAACCTATTAGATTCTAGCCTAACATTACTACTAGAAAGGTATAGAGACTACCTATAAACGCTACATTTAGAACTGTATCCTATGCAGGAGAGGGCACCTAAGATAGCACTAACTCCCTAGCATGCTCTATCCCCTTCCTATCCCTAGTCTACCTATGCAACACTTGTGTATTAATTTTAAGGATTTTCCCTAGGATTAATATAGTTATAATTAGATTATAGTTATTATTAATCGCCTATTAAAGTAAGCTATTACTATCCCTTGCTACAAAACTATAGACGCCTAAGGTATAGCTACCTTATTTATTTAGTAGGTGTACTAATTTAGATATACTCTAGATACTATTATTTCTAATTAAGGCCCTTAGTTTATATCTAGTTTCTAGTCTAAGTTCTATTAGATTATAGGTACTAAAGTTAAGCTCTCTACTACCTACTATAAATAAACTAATAGATAAACTAAGATTATAAACAAGTATATTAATTAGAGACTAAGGCCTTTTATATCCTATTACTAAGATAACTAGAGCAACCTACTACCTATAATAGACTGTGCCTAAAGTACTCTTCTATATTTATCTATTAGCATAGCTCTATATTAGCTCCTCTTTAGTTCCTTACTAAAGCAAAGTTAGAATTAGAAACTAGAAAAGACCCTATCTACTATACTAGAGAAACTAAACTACAAGGACGCCTTATTCCTTACTACTTAGATGCACAACGCTTAGAAGATTGCTAAAGAAAATATAGAAAGAGCTTAAGACTAAATACGCTCTACTACTAATTGCTATTACTATCTAGTTAACTAGAAGGTTAGTAACTATATTTATCTATCTACTACTAATCTTGCTATTTTATAACCTAGCTAAAAACTATCTAAATAATAAGAAGGTCCCTTTAAGGTATTAGAACAAGTAGGAAACACGTATTGCCTCTAATTGCTACCTAGTTCTAAGATCTATAACATTTTCTCTCCTAATATACTATATAAAGATCCCTAAGACCTATTACCTAGATAAGAGGCTCTAAAACCCCCTAGTACTCCTATATAAGGTGTAAAGGAATAGGAGGTAGAAGAAATCCTAGCTAGCAAATTATATTAATCTAAGCTAAAATATAAGGTTAAGTAGGTTAGATATAATCCTAATCCTATTTAGTATCCTGCCTCTAACTTTATAGGGGCTCCCTATAAATTATAGGTATTCTACTAATAGTATCTAAATTAGCTAGGTCCCCTACGTAGCTTACTAAAATAGATTTAAGCCTAGGAAAAAGGGAAAGAGAACCTAATATTACTTTACAATAATTATACCTAATATTAGAACTAATTTATATCCTATTTAGCTACGTATTACCTATTAACTACTATCTATTACTATTATTCTTATTACTATTTATTATTATATCCTATTTAGAACCTTAAAGGTTCCTAGGACACTACCCCTAGGAAACCTCTTTATTCTATATCTATCTCTCTATTAGAACCTAGTTTAGACTCTGTATTAGCTAAGATTACACCTAGACTATTCTTCTTTGCTAGCTTCTAGATAACTAGTGTAGCAGGAATTAGAGCAGGTGTAGGAGTAGGGACAGGACCTAGGACTAATTTAGACTCCTTCTTGTAGAACGCTTTTATCTTAGCCTAGACTAGGAAAGTTACCTTCTAATTTAGCGCTAATTCCTCCTTAAGTTCTTTAATAGCCCTTATTAAGCCCTTAACTACTAAGACTATCTTATAGATACTATTCTAAAGCTAACGTAAATTAGATATAGTAGTATAATAGGTAGCTATAAGGATTTTAGTAGCCTCTATACCCTTAGTCTAAGTATTAGTAATAGTAACGCACTTAGCTAGGTTTTAGGTAGTTTCTTAAATAGTAGCCTTAAACTACTTAATATCCTTCTAATAGGCAACTATAGCTTTATTATCCTTATCCCCTTTAGTAGGGTTTCTAATTAGACTATAGTATTCTTCTAGAGCACCCCTAAGGGTAGAGTACTCTTAGCTAACAAAAGAAGGAATCTGCTAGGATTAGTAAAGGAACCCTATTAGACTTAGACACTTACTAGATTGCAATACTTATTCTAGGAGATATAGTACTAGCACTTCTTAGAATTCTTTAACTTAAAATTAAAATTGTTAAACCTGCCCCTAGCTAGAGCCCTAACTACTCTTATATAGAGAGCGCGATAAGCGACTAGGAGGACTCCTAGTGGTACTAGTACTAGCATAGCTAAAGGTTCTAATTTAGATTAGCAACTGTTTAATTATATAGATTAAATACTTACTAGATTTTAGATGGATTGGGTTAAATAATTGAAAATTTAGGGATATAGGAGTAAGAAAGTTAGTAGGTAGAGGGCTAGTTATAGGCAGGCCAGGGATAGGGGTCCGTGCCCTAGGAAGAAGAAGTAAAGGTGAAGGCAGAGGTAAAGGTGGATTTATTTTGCAAAAGCTCTTCTTTGAAGAGGGATCTAAACCTAATCCTAAGGATAGGGACTATCCTTTCTCTATAGGAGGGGGTAGTATAATAATAAGGTAGAATTGCCTGCCTATTATTCTATACTAAGTTAGGCCTAATAAAGGCCTAACTTACTAATATATATAGAGAATAGCTTGCCTATAGTTAGGATAGGCATATTCTTCTTGTCCTTTTGTACAAGACCTATAGGTGTAGGAATCTTATCCTTTTCTGTATAGACGTGCACTCCTATATGCCTTTAAGTTGTATAGGATACCTTTTGGATGCCCTACCTACCTAAGTCGTTACATACCGCCTAGGTATCTACTAGTACTGCTTCCTATATAGTAACCCCACTAAATCATGCCTACCACGTGCCCTCTATCTACACTAAATTTTCCCCCTAGGTGCTATATATCTATCTACTACATAACCTATAATTAGGTATATTATATAAACTATATTTAAATAGACGCTAAAGTTAATATATGTAATACTAATAATATATAAACTAAAAAGTGGTTTACCTTTATAGAATATATAGTATAGTAAACCCTATTTAGGTTTACTTTAGATAAATATAGCTACTATAAACTGGTTTTGTACCGTAGTGTGTTATATATGCGTATAGCGTGAAGCTAATCTTCTCTACCCCTTTTAGTCTTAGTTAGGTATTATAGCGTATAATAGATATAAAACTACTTTTTATACTTAATTTAAACCACCTATAATAAAAGTAAACCACCACTTTAAACCTATTTACAGGTATATACAAGGTCAGTTTACACCTATATAGTAAACCCCTAGCGTACCATTCTACAGTAAACAATTTTTTACCGTAGTGATATTGACAACTACTCAGACACCAAACAATGCCTTGCCTACGCCGCCTTGATAAAGCCAAGGCTCTGAATTTCTGTTAAGAGGTTGCCCAACATTATAGGATTTATTTTGCCAAAGAAATCTTCTAAATATCAGCATACGAGTGTTGGTATCGCTCAAGTTTGGCCATCCCACCATCACTGATTTCTTGTTTTTCAGCCGGCGCTAGGAGACCATATATTAAAACCAAACAATTTACATCCCGGCATACCAGATAAGGCTATATAGTTCCTGGGCCATCGGCCATGTGTCGCTGGCAATACAATGCAGCTCGGATTGCGGAATGAGATAGCGACTACGGACATCCGCGTCTTTGCGTAAAAACCAGCACTATCATTTTCCTCAGCAAGATCCACTGCTAGAATGAGCAATCATACCACATGTACACCAACAGATCCCTTCAATTTCACAGAGGAATTCACAATCCCACAGCAGAACCCCCGCTCCCACCCCGCAACCACTGCCCCTCTGCTCCTTCAAGCAAACACACAACTTCCCCATGCCCCCTCTTCTCCGCCCAGAACCGTGGTGTCCGCTCTTTGCTATCCAATTTCAAAGGATCGGCACCCTTGTCCACCAAATACCCCACAATCTCCAGCTTCCCAAACTCCGCAGCTCGATAGAGTGCCGTACCAAGACTAAATGGCTTGCGCTCTGCATACGTCTTGGGCTCTTTTTCATACTTGACCTCATTAACAGCTGCACCTTTTTCCACAACTAGGCGGACTACGGCGAGGGCGTCGGGTTTGTCGCGGAGGACGGTGTAGTGGAGGAGTTGTCCGCGGTGAGGATCTGCGCCTCGTTGGAAAAGTGTTTGGATGGTTTGTAGAGGTGCTTGGAGCATGGCGTAGGATGTAGACGTGAGATCCCAGTCGCAGCGGCTGTTGGGATCAGCGCCATGGTCGAGCAGCCATGCTACCATTTCCTCATCAGAAGTTGATGATGGGATGCTGAAGTATTATTAGCGGACATTGCAATATGGACATATTAACTTGTAAGCAATACCCCAAGACAGCAGGCAGATTTCGACCCATAGGCTCATTGATATCCCATCCGCGCGTGAGAAACAATGCTAAAATCTCATAGGCTTGCGAACGCACAGCATCATCAGCTGGAAGATGTCCGCCTGCAACATTTTCATCAAGCAAGTGCTGCACCACTCTTATGTCTTTGCGCGATATGGCTTCGGAAAGTGAAGCGAAAAAGCCATTCTGGACGGGGCTGCTGTTCTGCGGCTTGTTCTACGGGTGCGGCCTCATGATGAGGATCATGTAGAAGCCGTCGGACCTGTTCCTTGACACCGTCGAGATCGCCTTTACAACTGGCCTGGTAACATAGCTGGACCTGTTCAGGTCTTGAATAGCGCGCAAGGTTGTGTGTTATGGGCGCAGGAGCGGAGACTTTCTGGAAACCTGCATAGTAAAGCCTAGAGGGAATAATGTATTTCGCTTGAAGGAAGGATAGGTTTGTATATGCTGTGAATGCGAGGACAGCGGGGCGTTGTCTTGGCGTTGTGAAGCTTACATCTATCAAGCTCTTGGAGGTGTACACTGCAATGGTAACTTACAGGTGTAAAACTGTTGACAACTAAAAGCGACGAGAGAATCAACAAGAGCGAAACACGCAGGATTATCCAAGTAGACGCGCTCGTGTTTTATGTAACAGACTAGAAAAAGAAGCCATCAGAAACAGACGAAAAAGGTAAGGAGAGGAATATCACTGGTAGAGCAACATGTGGTGTGTCAGGCTGGTCAGGAGAAACCCCTTCACGACAATCACTCGTATACACATCTACAATTGCAATGTCTACCTATAAGCTACTGCCATAAAAAAAAGCGCGCACTAGTACTGGCTTGATACTCTCGTCTTCAGGATAGACTTTGTGGTCAGCCAAAAACAGCGTCTACGAATTATGCCACATCCTTATCTTGTTGCTGGACTGACGACGGCTTCTGCGCCTGCGCTTCACTTCCTGTGGCCGCAGGCGAGATAGTCGGCTTGTCCTCAAGACCAGGGCCCGATCCGGGAAAAGCACCTGGTGCATCCACCGAGCCAGAGGCAGTTTCAGTAATCAGCGGATCTGCGGGCTGTACGGTAGCCGAGATCTTGGACGCGACGGGCTCCAGTGTCTCGGAAACTCGGGCGACAGCTGGCTGGACCGCTTGTTGTACGGTCTCCGAGGCCTTGGACACGGCGGGCGAGACAGTATTGGTTACGTTGGAAGCTACCGGCTTCAAAGTCGACGAAGTATGCTCAACTGCTGAAGAAGTCTGGTCGATGGTTGCCTCGACTGCAGCGGCTGGCTCACTGTGATTAGTGGTAGTCTTGACTAGATCATCCTCTCGTGATTCACCAGGCAAGGACTTGTCCATGACGTCGTTGGAAGAATTATTCTTTTGCGAGTCGGTGGGCCCGTCTTGCGTACTCTTCGCTGGAGCCGGAGCCCTCAGGGCATCCTGGATTGTGGCAGCCATCCTAGCCGCTGCCACGTCAAGAGCGCCGTCTTCACGAAAACTCCAAATGGTAGTGACTGGACCAATAGACAACTTCTGTGTGGGAACAGCAGCCCCGGCAGACATGGTAGCTGTAGCGGAGGCTGCGGGCTTTCGTCTCTGGGGTCCCTTAGCCCTACCCTTGCGAGCATCTTGCAGAGGAGCAGCCTCTTCTTCCTTTTCCGGTTCAGGCTCCTTGACTTTGGGTGCCTGAGGTCCCAGTCCAAGTTTACTGTTAAGATCCGACAAGAAGCCGGCTTGGAGGGCCGCAATCTTCGAGGTCGCAGGGCGCGCAGGAACGGGAGGCTTCGCTTTGGCTTGCGAACTGTCGTTGTCCGACTGCGAATCTACAGTGGGTACTTTCTCTGAAGATCCGGTAGAAGGCTTGCTCGGGCGGACCGAAATCTGGGGCTTTGGACGCTCAGGAATGATGGGTGCCTTCTTGTCGACAGGAGATACTGACTCCTTCGCCGGGCGAGCTGGGATTTCAGGGCGCGCTGGAACGGTCGGCTTATCGGTCACAGGTGATTCTTCGGCATATTCGTTGGTGTCTTCCATCTGTGGCGCGCTGACAGTAGTTTCAAGATGGCCATATGAGGGCGAGTCTTCCCAAATGTCCTGGCTGGGGAAGCGCTGTTGCATACCAGGGCGTATAGGATTCTCATCGCGAACTTTGCCAAGGTGCTTGTTCTCCGCTGCGAAGCGCCTGGTGTGATCAGGAAGGAAAGACTGCTGGTCTTCTTTGGCGATATGAGTCTTGCGCTCTTCTTCCGTGCTGGGATCCTCGAAGACCTTTGCAGGGCTCACATCCTTGATACCGCCAGCAGATTCCGGCTCATCGACAGCGACAGGCTCTGGAGTCTCGACAGTGGTCTCGAGCTGCAGACTACCCGGAGTATCCTCCCAGACGTCCTGACTGGGAAAGTGGTGACGAGCAACACTGGGTCGCTTGAGCTTGTCCACCTGCGACTTGGGCTTCTTTGTGTCTTCCTCATCTTCTGGAAACAATGGTTCATACTCCTTGTGCGACTCGAGTGGAGTACCACCCCGGTCGAACTGCGCAGGGCTGGGGATGACGCGCTGCGGAGGATTGTTGTTTCGACTCGAACTCCTGCTATGGCTTCGGCCTTTGGTCATGTATGCTGGTGTGCCGTCTTCGTTGACAGTGTATTCATTGCCGTGACGTTCCAACTCAGGCGAAACGGCAGGCTGCCTCCATTCGTTATCGGGATGCTTCTTTACCTCATCGGAGGCAAGAATGGGCGTGCCATAGCCACGCTCAGTCACCCACCCGCCTTGTTCCGTAGTGTTTCCACCTTGTGGACCCAGGTCTTCTGTTGGGGGATCATAGCCTCCTCCGTGTATTTTGCTGCTTCGGTGAGCGGGCGGATCGATATGAATAACCTCGCCTTGCTCGTCAACTTCTTGGCCTGCTTCGTTGCGGAGAGGAGAGTCGGTGTGGCCAGCCTTGATCGAGGCAGGACGGCCAGATTGTGGTCTAGGCGATGCCATTCTCGAGGCGAATTGTTCGGTGGCAATGTAACCAATCTGTTCGTCCGGTGTACTGATGGCATCTCTAGAGGTACCTATTGCACTTGTCAGTCTTTATTCATTGTGGAATGTCTCAGATCACTGTACCCATGCCAACATCCTGACCCTTGGTATGCACAAGCTTCTCCAAGTTGTCTGCACGCCAGTGATAGTCTTTTCTGTTCTCTTGGATATGAGGTCCGTATTCACCAGCCTTTTCGCGCTTCAGGTCCTCCGGATGTCGCTCGTACCACTTCTGCTCGAACTCGTCGTTTGAGATGACCCCATGCCCGTGCATTCCATAGCTGCCTGGGGGTCCATGGAAGATTTCACGACCGCTCTTGGTACGTCCGTGATGGCGTCCACCAGATTTTGGGTGAAATGCACCACCAGAGCCCGGCTGGTGCGCATGAGGTGCCGGGCTAGGAGCTTGCACGTCTCCAGCACCACGAAACATGGGCACCTGCACGCCGATTTCCGGGATGCCATGCGCATCTTTGTCATTGTAAATAGAGCTGGGCCTGGAGCCAATCGAGGATCCAGAGCGGCCTGACTTGGTAGTGCTCTGGGCCACTTTCTCGTCGACCGAAAGCTGCTTGCCAAAGCCTGCTGCCTCTGCCGAGGAGGAGTCGGTGCGTGTCACCGCCTGAATTCTACTCTTGGCTGTGGAGCTAGGGACTGAGGCTGTGGGAGCGTGGAGAGGCAGATCGCCAGCAACACTCTTCAATTGATGGGGCGAGCCAGCTGGACCGAGGCTGTCGCTGGTGAGGGTCTTGGAGAGGTCTTCGAAGCTGGCGTACTCGCTACCTTCTTCTCCCAGCGAGGGCATTGACACGCTGGGCGGGCGAGAGGGGGTGTCGGTGGTGAGACGGCCGCCCTCTCTCGGCGGGGGCCCGTTGTGGAGGTAGGTTGGGTCATTGAGGGGGGAGCGGGCGTATCTGTCCCCCGCGGGCGAGACTGAGCGTTCGATGCCACGCTTTGGGCGTGGAGGAATTTTGGGCACATCCATGTGGGATTGGGGGGCGGGCGCAGGGCTTTTCTCCGTGCGCGCCGGGCGGGGAGGTATTGTTGGTGGGGCGCTCATGGTGTCTGGGTAGTGTAGAGGTGGGATGTGCGGGGAAAAGTGATGTGAGGCAAGCTACGTGGGGTGACAAGGTCAGCGAAGAAAGTCGGACAAGGAGCGCAGTAGAGGCCAGAAGACATGAAATGAAGCGTGAGATAAGCGGGCCGTTGAATGGCAGGGAATCGATGATGTGATGGCTGGTTCACGTTTATAATCTGCCCAGGCCATGTT